TTCAAGGAAAATTCTAATTATACTGAATGCTCCCATAAGCAGTGACTTCACAGTATAACTCCTCTGCAAAAGGCATCTCCACCTATTATGACTTTATTATTTTTTTTTTTTTTGGTTTTTCTCCGGTACCGGGAACCGAACTCACGACCTTGCGCTTGCCAGGCAGGCGCTTTTTGCCGCTGAGCTAAATCCCCAGCCCCTACCTATTATGACTTTAATGACTGAGGTCTTAAGTGGGTTAAGAAGTCAGAGCAGTAAATACTGGATTTGCAAGGAAGCTTTGTTTTCTACATCAATTTGTTTTCAATTTTCCTTTTTGGCAACTTAACAGTTCAGCCACAGGTAAAAGAAAAAAATATTTTGGGAAGGAGTAGAATACACCATACTGTTGTTATTGCCCTAATAATAACCTTCTTACTCTCCATCACAGAGTTAGAAGGTTGAAACATCAAAACACAATTTTTGAAATTTAGTTTACAACTGAGAACAGTTGTGTGGAATTTGACTCAAGCTTCTCAACCATATTTGCATGTTCGTGTGTGAAAGCAGTTGAGGGCAATTTAATGGCAAATAGTATATTGTACCGCATGAGTTTGTGTGATGGTAGAGTGAGGGCTTTGTATAGAGAAAAATAAGTCTATTGGATTGAGAAAGACAAATGATTCAGTTCTTAGTTTGTCCCAGATCTAGAGAGAAAAGGGGATCACCACAAGGTTAGGAGTTTTGAAAATTTCCTGCAGTCAGAGACTTATTAAGAATGTGTACATCACGACTGGGGATGGAATTCAGTGGTAGAGCACTTGCCTAGCATGTGCTGGGGTTTGATCCTGGGCAACACATACACACACAAAACTTCCAGAATGAAGGAAATCTGTGAGGTTTTCTACATACTGTACGTACAATTATGTATAGCTCCAGAAAATGGAACCTGAAAATGTGCAGTGAACTTTCTGAAATAAAAGAATTCAAGGCACTAGAATTTGACCCAAATAAAATTGGGGAGTATAAATGTTTGAAATCAGCCAGGTGTGGTGGTGCATATGTCATCCTGGCTACTCAGAAGGCTGAGGAAGGATGATCCCAAGTTCTAGGCCAGCCTGGGCAACTTAGTGAGACAATGTTTCAAAATTTAAAAACTAAAGGGTTGGGGATGTAGCCTAGTGGCGAGCAGGACGCCCTGGATTCAGTCTCCAGGTATGCAAAACAAACGAACAGTTGGAAATCTGATGCAGATCTATGTAAGAAAATACTTTCCTTCCCTTTTTTATAGTTTTAACTTTTTCATTTAGTTTTACAGAGCATCCTTCGGTCGAAGAAAATAAGCTTTAACTGAAATGGATTACTCTGAAAGAAAAGCAAAAGTTAAAAAGTTGTTTTTACTAGAGCTTTATTTATAAAAGCACACAACTACTAGAAGTACCCTTTGTCCTAGTAAACTGACAATGTAAGAATCTTCCTTGACAGTTTTTTAATGGCTGAATAGATGCTTAAAACACTGTCCACATTCTTTCCCTTAATAGTTTATTTTTTAAAAATTTGAATATTTATGTGAATTGTAACTGAGTGAGACTAGGCTAGAGGGGAAATAAAAAGAATCAAGATGCAATGTGTATGTACCAATTCCCCATAATGAATGTATTTATTATTTATCAAACATACACTAGTAAGGGAGAAAAAAAGAAACTTTATACACCAAAAACAGACGTGTCTGCAGTATGATATATCCAGTACCAGTTTCTGATTTCATAAAGCTTGGTGTGTTGAGTAATTTGTAGGTCTGGCAAAGTAACTATAAATTTAATCAGAAAAACACCTAGAGAAAGTGAATCGGAAATTGGGCCAATAAAGGCTATTTGCATACTTAACCCAGATGTGATTTGGTCTTAAACCACAGGGACTACTACTTCATTGAATTATTTTAACTTTGTGTATGTGAATATCGTGAGGAGGTATACTCTCATTACTTTGATTCTCAAATGTTTAAAATTAAATAAGCATAGCCAGTATAATAAAGTCTTTATAATGAAAAAGAAAAAAAAAAACCTAAGAGATTAGAGAAAGTCAGCAAGGACAGAGATGCACTGTCCCCAAGCTGGTGGCTGGGCACCTAACATGGACGTTAGTCAGTGAATTCAGAGCCATCAGACTACACAGGGTTGAGTTCTGACACTCCAATCTGAGGAACTCAATCGGATGGATGTGCAAGTCCCACTCTAGGCAATCTCTCTCACTGACTGTGAGGCTGGTGCTTGTGGACGTGACGGGACATCAACTCCATTGCTGAAAAAGGGTTTGCCTTGAGTGAATCCTGGGTGGGCCTCACTTAATCAGGTAGATCGTTAAACAAGAGACTTGAAGTGGGAATAGTGAAACATGAAATGCTTATGGTGGTGGCCACAGAGCAAGGGCCTGGGAGTGGCTGACAGCAGGCCTCCTTGCCAGCAAGAAATCAACAACTTCAGTCCATTGCTACCAAGAGATGAGTTCTATCAACTTGGAGGCACCTAAAAGTGATCTTCATCCACTTGAACCTTTAAGGAGAATGCAGTCAGCTGACACCTTCATTTCAGATTCGTGAGATCCTGAGCACAGAACCCAGCCAGCAGAGAACCCAGAGAAATTGAGATTGTAGATCTGTGTTACGTGGCTAAGTTTGCAGACATCTGTTACGAGGCGATAGAAAACCGATATATGCTGATTTTATTAGACACATGACTTGGTCAGGATACTAGACCATGGCTTGAGACCAGTGACAACACAGTCTATTAAATGCCCCTCCGCGGAATATGGAATAACCTCTTTGAGGGTTGATGCTGTGTACACGAATGCACTCCACCAAAGTAAACATTAACTTAGGCGTTGAAAGCTTCTTCACAGTAAGGTCTGTGTGTAGCTTAGAACCCCAACAAATTTGCTTTTCTAGGCCTGAGTGACCATTCTGTCACCTGCTTCTCTTCACTGTTCTATCTTTATTCTCCTTCCCTCTCACAGTGTTTAGTTCTTCGATTCACCAAACCATGGATGGCCATCTCTGTTGGACCTTACCACTCAGCTTTTTAACCCGTTACTATGTGGCAGTCCTGGGTGGTGATAACAGACAAGCATTGTGTGTGGGAATCTAGTTTAACTCTGAGTGCTGAAATCGCCTATTTATGTACTCTTGGGAGAATTCTTAGACCCTTGTTTTTAGCTCCGTATAAAAAAAGAGATCTTACGTTGTTTTTCCATACTACTGAGGACAGAAGAGAATGGAAAAATTGCATTTCAAGAACCAAATTCTCCCTCAGATTTCTTGTCCCTATGGGTCAGAGATACTTCTCTACAATCTTGCCAGTTAAACCGATGATCTCTATTTTGCCATGTGCAGATTCTTTTACTCTCATGGCTGAGAATGTAAGTAGCGTAGGGAAGGAATGAGACTGTTTGGACATTACAGGGAGGTAAATTTATTCAGTATTAGGACAAAATTAAGATGCAGATGGGAAAGGTTTGATCCAAGTTTACTGAGTTACAAAGAAGGCCAGGGTAGGAATATAAGTATGGGCAAAATCTGGAGAATTGACACGTGGGTCTGAATGAGGCGCAACACTTAAGTGTGAAAAGCTCTAAGAAGCCAGGATGGAAGGCAGCTGGAGGCAATATACCAGCAGAGCAAGGTCACTCTCAATGAACCCCTCTGTCCCGTTGGACCAGGCAGAGAGGGGGATCCCTATGCTTGCAGAGGCACATGGGGTCCTGATGTCACAAAACTTTGAGTTGGTGGTAAAGATTTACAGTAGAAAGTCAAAGATTCCTGGAATCAATCCTTTCTTAGCTGGAGATTTCCTGAGGTATTTCCTAGGAATCAGTCCTTTAGGAAGGGCCATTCTCTCATTCACCGGTCAGTGTATTTCTTGGTTCTGTCTTTTTAGCTGTTTTTATTTTGATTTTCTCCAATGGGTCGGCCTCTTTATGCACCTGATTTTCTGTCTCTACCTCTTTTTCACTACAGAAGAGGGACCTGTCCTTATTCAATTTTTGTGGAGAGGGAGCTGCTGTTTGGAAGGTTGTTATCTTCTGGTGGCAAAGGGACTGACACAGTCAACCCAAAGGGGTTCCTCTGTCAACAGCTTGAGCTACCCTGTGCCCCTTCTCAGCACCCCTCCTGCCCCTAGCTAGGGCCACAGCCCTGATTTGGAGAACAGTGCTGCCCTGTCTTCTCCACATGCCTGGCAGCCGGCGAGACATCTCCCTGGCCTGCTTCCAGCTTGTGCAATCAGGCAGGAAGGTAGAAAGACCATGGGCCAATTCACTCACTGCAGCCCTAGTAATGGGTTCGTTAATGAGCTCCAACTCACGACAGCGGGTCCATTGCCATGAACTGCACTGAAGAGCATTCCTATCCAACATAGGGATGAGGAGAAACAGGACACACTAAAGGACAGACTCACCTGGCACAGACTACATCTTTGGAAGCCTGAAATGCTGTCCTTATAAAAATGCAAACAGATCCAAAAGGAAGCACTTTGATCTTTAAAAGGTCACAGTAAGTCTGAACATTGATTCTCTTTAAGATGTTTTATCAATTAGAGACCAGAGGATTTTTTCCTGATGATATTTATTTCATAAATGTAATTACTTTTCTAAAACATATTAAAATAGAAAACATGTTTTTCTGATCAATTTATACAAAGAAAATACCAATATAGTAATAAAAATACTGAAAATATTGAAAAGCACCAGAACATTAGAGAAGTTACACTGGCAACAATTCTAGTAATATATTTTTTTGTAATTGTACAATAAAGTGCTATTAAATCCAGTCAAAATTAGTGGCAAGATATAAAAACAGTTATGGTATTATGAAATTTGAGGCTAGGCTTAACAGCAACTGCATTTTTAAGCTACTTGCAGATCAAGCTAATGATATTTCATTAATGTTTTTATGAAAAAATCTATTAATTTTCATTCCCATGTGAAAGCTAAAATCAGAATCTAAATGAAAGTCCTTGGTAATCTGGTCATGAACACGTAATGGCATGAGAAAAAGAAAATTACCAAAAACAGAATATCAAAAATAATAATCATGCAAATGTAATTAGAACCAAATGATGACATATAAAATCAAATGTAAATATACATGATTAATCATGACAAGTACAAAAGTTTAGGTGCTTTTGACTTTATAGTTCATTTTTGGTAATTTTTAGTCACATTTAATAGACACACAAATGTTAACAAGATAGATTACTAAATTCAACTGATCAAACATGGGTACTTTAGTGAGTCAATACAATCTTAATATGAAACATTAAAGGGACACCGTTAGGACAATACAGTTCCAATCGTGGCTAATTATTTCCTCATTTATTTGCTGAGGAACAAAAACCATACACGAATACATTGGGATTAGATTAAGGCCAAAAGTGTACCATGTAAGGGGAAGCCGTTGTGCACACACAAAGGCAGATACTGTGCACAGGACTTAGGGGGGACTGCAGTCCATCTCACATCTGGAGGTGGCAAACTGAAACAGAAAAGCCCAAGTCAAGACAAAGGACCACACCAGTGTCCTTTTAAGGTTTTATTTCCTAGGCCAGTTTTGAAGGAACTCTCATATCTTATATTCTTCATAACTCAGTTTGGGGAACCAACTTCTTCAAGATGAAAGCGGATAACACTACACTCTGTAATAATAATAAATCTCCAAACATGGCTCAGTGGAAACTCAAAATTTATTTTACAGGAAGACTATTTTTTCTTTCATATAAAATCGATACACAAGTTAACCAAAACAGATCGAAACTGGCCATATGACGAAGAAAACAAACCGTGATCTCATTAGCCTCTGCTTCTGCTAACTCTCTTTTCAGGAATTTAGAAACCATACCAGGTGGGTCTTACTGTACCAAAGATAGACTATGAAGTCAGTGAGTTAGCCCTGGGATGAAGGTTTTACAGCCCACTATGAGTAACATTTTGTATTCTCTGAGCAAAGACCTGACCCTTGAGCTTCTATACTTTTTTATTTTCCTTTTCACCATTATGGGATAATTCAGTCTTTTGCAAGTTTCCTACTTATGGCTGATTGTAACAAGGACCATTTTGAATGGTAAATTATATTGCTTAGAATCTCAAAAAACTAGCTCTTTTAAAAAAAGTGTCATCTAACACTTTTCATTTAGAAATGAGGGTGAAGGTGGTGCAATCTGTAGTCCACAGAGACTCCTGTGACCTGCTGTCACCTGGAAGGCATGAGGAACGACAAGGCCTTTGTAATCGATTAGGAAGAAGTTCAGTGTCCAGCCATAGCGCACAACGTGACGCTGCACAGAGATGGCCGGAAAGGGAGACTGGAGAGACTCCACAGAGTTCAAAGAAAATCCAACCACACTTACTTTTCCAAATGCTACCAAAATGAGTGTTCACAGAAAAGCCCAGGATTAACAAGAGGCAGGCTGCTAAGGAACTCTGAGAAACAAAGGCTAAGGTGGTTTGGCATGGAAAGTTTACATTCCAAAAGAATATTGACTATCATCTGGAATTAAGTTTCAAAATTACAAAGTCAAGATTACATAAATTACTCTAAGTATGTTTTCTTTTTCAATATACATGTTCTTGTATTTACATAATATAGAAAAGCTAGTAAGTCGGCTCAGCTATAATAACTCTGTCATAAAAAAGCAGATGACAGTTTTTGGCTGCACCAAAGCATGTCACTTATTGTTCAGTTCAGCTAATGTATTTACATAGTAAAACTTAAGTTCTGGGGGGCGGTTTTGGGGACCAGATGCAGGGACTTGTGCACACTAGGAAAGTGCTCTACCGTTGAGCCACACCCCCAGTCCAAAACTTAAGCTTTAAAAGTACTTAAATCAAAGGGAAAAATAAATTATATTTAAGCTATTAATTTACACAATGCATATGCCTTTACTTACTTTCCTAACTAGCTATAATCTCTAATAATGAATTTCTCCAGCATTTCTTTATTTAAACGGTTTATTTTTGAAGACAGGCATATGTTGCACCCCTCACGTGCTACATATTTGCTTTTAGGAAGCACAGATATGCACTGTGTTTAGTAGCTTGGTGGAGACGTTTTGGGTTTGTTACTTTTTCCTAACAGCTGAGGAAGGAGTTACGTTTGTGTCCAGGCACCACTTCTTTAATGGTACGATGAATAAAAGGTGACAACTAATGCAAGCAAGAGCATTGTTAAGGCAAGTAGCAGTTGTTGGAACCAGATACAACGCTGAAGGTGGTCTTCAAGCTTGCTATTGCTTTCTAGTAAACGATTGAGCTAAAGAGGAAAAAGGGATGAAAGATTTGTATCAATAAAACAATTACTAATCATGGCAACGACAAACAGGAATATTAGAAATCCAAACACTGAAGGCATATGGCCCATCTATTCTGAAAGGAAAGGAGGCAGAAATTCAAGGAGGCGTTCTATTTATTTGGTGGACAGATATGTCTCTGCTCACCCGTATTTTAAAAGGTCTCATTTTCTAGTGAGATGGGAGAAGACTGAACACTTCCTGGAGATATGTAAAACCTTGAACAGCTCAGCAAAAGAGCCCTTCTGTTTCTCTTTTATAATGCTGGCCGATGGAACCTAGGGCTCTGTGCGTGCTAGTTAAAGGTTCTATCACTAAGCTACATCTCTAGTCACTTTTCGTCTCTTTCAAATTTAAATGTACTACTTAGCACCCTTCTCTGTAAGATGGAATTCTTTGATACTTGATCTCTATTTCATATTAAACTGGCAAGAGCTTTGGTCGATTTCCAAAAGTAACTCACCACCTGATTTCTGATTTGGTTTCTCTTCACAAAAGGAGAGCCTGGGTCTATGCCAAAGATTTCCATTTATGTCATTGGAAAACATGGATTTCTAATGTCAATGAGCATTAACAACTTGCTTTGGTTAGGAAGAAAGTATACTTACTTGTAAATATATATCCTCACTGGTTTTATCTGACATGTTAAGGGCATTGTCTTTCAATGTCAGAGTATTGGGTTTACTGCTCTCAACAGTATGGCATCTTAACCTATGAAAATCCAAAGGAAACATAACTTCTTAAGAGCTTCAGTGAGTCTTCTTATATAAGCAAATTACAAAATGAAGAGAGTTAAATACAGGAATCTATGTAACAGAAGTAAAAGGGCTCATTCTTTTCCGCAAGTTTACCTAAAGTAGCAGCACAATTTATACTTATCTACTTATCTTCTAGCTACTGCTTCTTTCTTTTTGCACTGGGTTTGGCACATGATAGACAAATGCTCTACCACTGAGTTACATCCTCAGCCCATTTGCAGCTTCTTAATATACGGACAATGAATACAGATTGTGGATTCTGATCACCACCTCATGGGATTCAATGATAATCCACCCTCTATACCGGGGGTTGAACCCAGGAGCTTCGCACTGGTAATGAGCTATATCCTCAGCTCTTCTTTTTCTTTCTGTTAAACTTGGAGTTAGGGTCTCATTAAGTTGCTCAGGCTGGGCTCCAATGTGATATCCTCCTGCCTCAGCCTCTCACAGTGCTGGGATTACAGGTCTGTGCCACTATGCCTGGCTCAGTGGCAAGTTTTTAGAAGGTATTCAGTGGAGTTAATCCAAACACCTTTACTATTTGAAGGCAGCCACACTTTCTAGATGGTAGCTAATACTTCTCTTAGTCCTTCCAGACCAAACAACCAGGCTTCCTCCCACTTTCTCGGAGAAAACAGTGATCCTTCTGGGGAATTCCAGAGAAAGCATGTCATTAGGAAAAGGAAAACTACAACAAAGCAAATAAAGTACCTCATATAAAGCAAAGCATAAAGCATACATAACTGACCCTAAAACCCTCATACTGAGGACCTAAGTACTTCAACCTAATCTAGAATACCTTATATGCCAGCACTTCTTAACCTTTCAAAAATTTTCCACAGCCATGCCTTTGACCATAAACTCCACAAAGTAAGTCTCTAGACAAATGTTCCCTGGGAGCAAAACTAGAATGGTTCAATAAACCATAATGCCGATAAAAAGAACCAAAGCAAAGCAAAACCGCAACACAGCCTTCTCTATTCTCCATTTCTTCTCTACAGGTTTTAAGACATATATCATAACCATATACACACACACACCCCCCTTTGAGGATTCTCCCCTTTTAAAAAGCATCTCACATATATTTTCCTGAGAGTAGTTTCTTTCATATTAATATATCACAGATGTCTTCCATGACAGAACGAACATTTTACTTTTTTGAAAGGCTGCAAAGTACTCTTTAGCACAGATATACACAAATGTCCTTCACTGCTATTTACTAATGAGCATTTAAGTTCTTTCTAATTTTTCACTATTACAAACAGTGCTGCAACCAGCAGTCTAGTACATGGAGTACTCTTACAGGGGGACTGCCGGGACCGAGACGTACATATGTCATTTTGACAGACTCAGATTCTTGCCCTGGTCTGCCAGCGAATTTCTGTTATTAGTGCCTCCCTGAACAGCTCCAGCTCATTCATCTGAACATCCCCAGAGTCAGCCAGACGTGAGAAGCGAGGGGTGGCGCCGCACTCAGGGAGGCACACTTCCCTTTCTGACTCTTCCACCACAGCTGAGAGCCCGTGCTTACCGATGCTCCATCACTTTGTTTCTGGGAACTTCCTTCCAAAACTGAGTCAGTTCTGCTGGCCCTGTGCCGGATGACTGCTCCATTTCTGCAGCCATGATCAGAAACCGGTCTTGGGCAGAGACTGTTAAACCTGGATTCCAAAAGGGGGATTTAGCATGAAAACAGGAACCTTCACATGGGGCTGGATGTATGGCTTACAGCATTATTCCAGAATATAATATGAAGGAAAAACAAGAGAAGGAAGATGCCTTAAACACAGAAAAAGTATTAAAATTGAGGAACTTTGTGTCCATTTAAATAATTTCACTCATTTAAAAACAATTACATTTTAATGATACAAAGGCCACTGGAGACCTAGCTGACGATCTCATTTTACATGTGAGAAAACACGCCTAGAGAGAATCTAGGTGACTTGCTGATACTCTGATTTCTAGATTTACCTCTGCACTCAGTGGGGACCCAGGTTCCCACTTCCTACCACAACCTGGGTCCATGAATGTGGCCATGAGTGACAACTCACCCCCATGGGGAGACACAACTATATCGACTGATGCACCCGGGTCACAGCTGCTGTTGCTTGGCTTAACTCTGTATTTTTCTGGAGCAGTTGTTCTCACCTGTTTAGAAACACAGTAGTCATATAATCTGTATGATAACAACCTGAATGCTTTTTTGGGGAATTCTTTAAGAATGACTTTCTAAAAAAATCAGCAGTTAATCAATAAAGGGTCAACAAAACCACCTTGCTGGCTGCTATGGCTTACATTTAGATGTTCCTGCAAAGCCTCTTGAGCTCATAGGTGGGACTTTAGGCCGGTGACTGGATCATGAGTGTATGACACAGGCTAAGTACACTGATGGGTTTGTAGCTGGGTAAGATATTGGAAGGTAAAGTCCGACGGGAGGAGGTGAGTTATTGTGAGCGTGGTCTCGATGTATATAAGCATCCCTCCTCTTCCCCTGCTGCTTCCTTCCTGCCATGCCTTGAGCTCCTCCTCTGCCACTCTGCCCTGCCTTGGAGCCGGCCGGTTATGGACTAAAACTCCTGCACATTGTGAGCTAAAAGAAACCTCTCCTCCTTAGAGTTGCGAATGCTGGGTATGTTGTCTCAGTGAGGAGACAGAAACTAAGATAGTGATTATGCATGGAATGTATTTTTTTTCACCAACAGCATAAAAAGCATCTCAATGTATCTAAAAAATTACTTGTTTTGTTTTGTGGTACTAGGGGATTGAACTCGTGGCCTTCACACTGAGCTACATCCCCAGGTCTTCTTTGTTTTTATTTTAAGACAGTCACACTAAGTTGCTAGGTTGTCTAGGCTGGGCTCCAACTTGCAATCTCTTGCTTCAGGATCCCAGAGTATGGGATGCACAGGTGTGCACCACCATGCCTGGCTTAAAAAGATACTTCTTTTCTTAAGTCCTACTGTCACTTAGACTTCCTCTTGAGTAAAAAATTAGCCCATCTATTAAGTATTTATTCTGTCTGTCAGTAGCCTGAATGTAATGATGCAAATTCCTAAAACAGAATGTACATTATGTCATGTTTTATAGTAAAGTGCAGAAATTAAAGCAGTAGATGATTAAAACCTATCCAGAACATCTTAACTGTTACAGGAGATTTAACAAAGAAATGCTTACAATATGGGTGATAGGCTCAGTATTGTTATACTTAATATTCAGTAAAAATTTAGTAACCAATATAAATTGTAGTTCAGAAAATACACCTTTGATTTTAGAGTTTTATCTCTCACTGCTGCTATGAATTAAAGTATTTATATACAGTAATGAAGAGTGATTTTTCTTGGGCTTGTATTTACGACAAACATTAAATCCCAGGAATAATATGGACATTAGTTTATTAGTGCTCATTAAAGCTTGAGATATAGATTCTACGGGAAATGTTAGAAAAGCTATGTCTCCTGGTTAGAAGTACAAGATAGTACAACATGCCTAAAAATATAAATAAAAGTATTGTTCAAGTTTTGCACAAGACTATTCATTATTCAGTTACCAATCTTTCAAGTAGAGTATGTGCCAAATCATTTCCCATGTTACAATTTCACATATAACTTATCATATCTTTAAGATATTTACCTTAAACGCTACTACATTTTTAGTTACATTTGTTAACACTATTAAGGTTTTCTTCTCTCCAGATTCAGTACTTCCAAAATATAATTCTTCTGCTGGGCTAGGTGGTAACAAAAACATAAGGTATTTGTATTACTCAGAATAAATGACAATGTAATCACTAGCTTGAAAAAGGTTATATGGTTAATGTTTTACGCTCACCTGTAAGATTTCACTGAAAAAGACTACAAAACAATTACCTAATATAATTTTATATATTAATCTTACTGGTCCAATGCATGCTATTTAAGAAACCCAGTGGTTTTCCCTAAGGTCAAAAGCAAAACAGGAAAGAACACAAGACAGAATTAGGAAAATTCTCAATTAATCCTATAATCAACACAATCTTAAACTGCATTTATTTAAACCCTTTGGAAGCTTATGGATTATAATCAAAGCAGAAAAGGTACCACTGCTTCAACTTTCTCTAATTATAAATAGATTAGCATTGGTCATATTTCTATACACCAAGAGAGAAGAACATAACTTAAAAAGAAAGATCATTAAGGATGTACTTAAGTTAGAGAATAATTTGTTACTATTCAGTGGCTTTTCTAAGTGATAGAGGGAAAGAAGAAATGCAGTAATAACTAAAGGAAGAAATCATCAAACAAAATCAGTGGGCCTCAAAATTCAAATTTTACCATTACTGGCCACTCTAATGCCCATGACCCAAAATAAAAGTTAAATGACTCAAGCAAAATTTGTGTAATTTCATCAGATTAGTCAAATGGTTATCAGGTGCCTCAAAACAATGGGAAGAACATTTTGGATGCTGTTTCTGTTTTAATTATTTAATGAATTTTTTGGTTTTTTTGAGACAAGGTCTCACTGTGTAGTGTATGTGTAGGAGCAGTTTTGTGACTCTGTCATGAGTACAGGTCCAAAATGCAGCCCCAGAAGCTGTCCTGCTCCAGTCCAGATTTCTTCCTTGCTGGTATTTCGATCAAACCTCGACACCTGTATGCTAGGCTCTGTGCAACAGAGTTCCCATAAAAACATGGAAGTTATACTTCCAAACTAGGAGAAAAAACAAGAACAAACAAACGAACAAAAACAAACTCCAAAGGGAGAAAATGGCAAAGAGAAATATTGGAAACAAAATGTGCATCTCTCTTTCTTACACAGACAAGTGTAAGTAACCGAAATATATGAAAACAAACTAACTTTGTCAATTAGACTCAAACTTAAAAAAAAAACTTGGGTGTACTGTTGGTAATCTACGTAATAGTTACACAGGAAGGTTTTAAGCAAAGGGAAAGACAATGCTGCATTAGATTGTTACTAATGAGAGTTGGTAGAGCAATATTCACCTAAGACTGAACAGATTTATCAACTGAAAGCATCATTGAAAAGTAACTTTTACATCATAATACAAAAAATAATTCTAAATTTCTTGTTTTTCCAGTGCTGGAGATCAAACCCAGGACTTCAGGCATACTGGACAAGTGCTCTACCACTCAGCTACATCCCCAGCCCCCAACCCTAAATCATCTTTCGGACCACATAGGCTAGAAACACAAATGAAGATGTGCCTATTTTTCTAGTTCCCCTTTGTCTTCTTGTGGTGTCACCTCAGGCACCCCTACTTCTGTAAATCTGAGAAAAATACAACATTTGGATATATTAATATATGAATATTCACTTTTATTATCTGATGGGTGATGAGGGCCCTTTACACACTAAATGTTATATATGATAAAATGGTAGTTAAAAATACCCCCTATATCCAGAAACCAAGGTGACACTTCACACAACCTTTTATTTTTTATTTCCAGTTTTGGAAACAGCACAGAATGTTCCATTTTGCAGTGCCCTCAAGGTGATCAAAACGTTGTAAGAGTATAGCTAATAAAATCTTATTACCTGATATGTAATAAGGGTCCTTTAAAGACACTCAATGGTTTCTTGAAAGCTTTATTTTTTGAATCAACTTTTTCATTTTCTTCTGCTTTTGAAGTCAATTCAGTTGAGTTAACCTAAAGACAAAAAGGAAACAAAAACACAATAGACAAAAGATAACGCCACTGATAGTTGGACAGGTCATTAGGTCAAAAACTAAAAATTATTTGATTCACAAATTATAATTTTTAATACAGGTTTATTATATCTAAATGATATATTTAATATACACTAACATGGCCATGAACATATATTTGACAGCCAACTATAAACAGTGCACGATTAAAAATATGACACGGTCCTTTCTTTGAAAGTCTTTACATTTGTACTAAATTAAAACATGTTTATTGGGGCTGGGGATTTAGCTCAGCGGCAAAAGCGCCTGCCTGGCAAGCGCAAGGTCATGAGTTTGGTTCCCGGTACCGGAGAAAAACCAAAAAA